GGGGGCGCGGGTGTGGTGGAGGCTGGGTGCCAATGCTGTGTGCTGGGACTCCGGGATGTGTTGCTTAATTCTGCTTTTCCCACCCCAGCCTTTGCTGAGCTGCAGACTGACATTAACGAGCTGACCAATGACCTGGATGGGGCTGGCATCCCCTTTCTGGACTATCGCACCTACGCCATGCGGGTTCTCTTCCCAGGGATAGAAGACCACCCCGTGCTGAAGGAGATGGAGGTGTGGTTCTGTCTGTCTGTCTCTGTAGTGTTTCACGCTGGGGATGCGCCCCTGTACGAGTCCCCGTGCCCCAAGCCTAGGGCTGGAGAGATGCTTTGTTCGGATGCTGGCCCAACGCGAACGCGGACCGGCTGCCAAATGGTTACTACGCTCTCTGACATTAATATCAATATTTATATTAATATCATTGTTGCTGTCATTTTCTACAGCACTTGCTTTATTCAATTGGGTTTGTTTGATGCCTGACCGGCCGCTCGTTTCTAGCAGGCTTGTCTGACATCGCCTGCTTGCTTGGCTCCATTTCCCCATGCAGAACCCATCCTTGGCATCCTTCCCCTACTCCCCAAACCAGCTCCCTCTCCTTTCCCAGCCTCCCCACCTCTGTTTAATTTAGTGCGTGCAATTGCACAGCAATTGGCTTCTCGTTTGCTGGGCTGCTGAGGCTGCTCTTGATTAGAGAAAGGAGGGGGGTGACCTTAGCTTCCCCTTGCTGCTGACCCGGCACAGTAATTAATGTTGACGTGGGCTTCACAATATATTTAGGAGAAGTAATCGGCCCTGATGCAAGATGCACGGTCACTAATTACAACACAACAAGCTCTTACCAACTGCAAGTGCACGTGCTGGTGTTGTACGCCAGCATGGCTACAGCGCGGGGCCCTGGCCCTCTGCCTGCTTTCTTTCCCTGGTCCCTAATCCCAGCTCCGGAGCACAGTGGGGACCCTATTTCCGTGGATTTCCCCTTGCAGCTCAGGTTTCTGGATGCTCAGAGCCACAGCAGGCGTGAGCATAGCCCTCCCTGGGGCACAGCCCTTCCTGTCTGTGCAAATGCCTGACTCTCCTCTCACCTCTGCTCTTGCTCTTAAGGATTTTCCCTAAAGAGAGAGGGGTGGAAAGGGTATCAAAAAGGGTATCAGAGGAGGAATTTTGCATTGGCCGTGGCAGGCTGGGTGGGAGTTCGTCCGCTTCCAGCTCCTAATTCAAAACATCCCACTGGAGAGAGCATGCCAGCTCAGCCTGGCCTGGGAAACAAGGGGTTAAAGTAAAAGGAGCAGTTTCTGGATGCTCAGAGCCACAGCAGGCGTGAGCATAGCCCTCCCTGGGGCACAGCCCTTCCTGTCTGTGCAAATGCCTGACTCTCCTCTCACCTCTGCTCTTGCTCTTAAGGATTTTCCCTAAAGAGAGAGGGGTGGAAAGGGTATCAAAAAGGGTATCAGAGGAGGAATTTTGCATTGGCCGTGGCAGGCTGGGTGGGAGTTCGTCCGCTTCCAGCTCCTAATTCAAAACATCCCACTGGAGAGAGCATGCCAGCTCAGCCTGGCCTGGGAAACAAGGGGTTAAAGTTGAAAAGGAGCAAAAAAAAAAAAAAATTCCCCAAAAGAGATTAAATAAAGCAACTACAGTTGTGTAAGCTTCATATAATTTAATCAGGTTTGCTTTTATTTGTCTCTTTACTCAGAGTGTAACATTAGCTATTGCAAGTGACGGGAAGGAAACGGCACTTGCTCACGCACACGCTAATCCGCAGCAAGCATCAGGCTGTCAGTACCAGCTCCCTTTCTCTTTAGGTTTTGGGGGGGGGAGGTTTGTTGCTTTGTGTGAATTTAAGCCTGATTAAATATTTAATTCAGTATTGTTCATTTATTTCTGCTAATGATCAGCAAGTTAAACACGGGGGCCCAGGGAGGTGACAGGCATGTGGGGGGCTCAGGCGTTGCCGTGCTGCTTGTGATGGCGATTTCACGTCCTCCCGTGCTCCCTGCCAAGGCTCCAATGGGATGTTTACTGTTGGGCAGGACCCGTTTCCCATCTTATCGAGATCCTGCTGCTCTGCTGAAGGGAGAAAGCCTCTCATCTCATGATCTCCTTTGCCTGGTCCCGGCTGCAAAAGCACCAGCAACATGCAGGGGTGGGGATGCAGCACGTCTCCCTCTGTCCCAGTTTTACTGGTGGGTCTGGTAGGTCTCCAGCACAGCCGCTGCGCTTCAGCTGGCTCTTGGGTCTTCCCATGCTGAGGAATCAACTGGCATCTCTGCGTCCCTGTAGGTACCAGTCAATGCTGCTGAACCTCAGGCATCTGCCTGAGTTACCAGCATCATTGCATCGAGATCGCTGCATAGTCTGGAGGGAGGAACTCCAGGAAAACATAATTTAAAGCATTTCTCTTCCTAGCAGGACGTTATTCTCTGACCTGCATTAAGGGAAGTTGAGCCACGTGCTTGCTTGTGTGGTGCCCGCGAGAGGAACCCCGAGGACGGGGGCAGAGAGGGCTTGTCACTTCCCCGTCATTCTTCTGGGATGCTCTGGGGCAGGCGTCCCCACTCGCCTGGGTGATGAGGGTGGCAGTGGCACCTGGGGGCTCATATTGCAGAATTGACAAGGACTGGGTGGGAAACGGGGTTTTTGTCCAGTAGGAAAGAGTATTTTGGAGGGGGAAGTTACAACTGCGAGGAATTTTGCTGAACTGAAGAGTGCTGATCCAAAGTTTTGATTGAAGTGAAATGATTTGATGTGTCAAAACCCTGTTCTTCATTTTGAGTTGGTGTTTTGAAATGAAAAGTGTTGTTTTGTCTCCAAATATCGACATGAAATGAATTTTTTTACTTTTCTTCCAATTCAGGAAGACAAGGGAGAAAAGGGGGGGGGGGAAACCATTAAAATTGACGTTTTACCACAGCGAGGCTTTTATTCAGAGGAAACCATCTTTTCTAATGGGAAAACGTTGTGTTGTAAAATTGTTCATTTCTGATAAGAAATGTGGTCAGGGCTGACCACAGCTGGGCTGATGATGGCAGCGCAGGGATGAAAGCATCCCAGCCCAATCCCTGCTGGGTCCTATGTGGCCAAGTATGGCCAGAAATACACCTTCACATGTCTCAAGAGGAAAGGGAATATTTCAGGCTGTGTCTGGAGTGGGGCAGAGCCAGATTTCTGCTATTTGCTTCCCTGTCTGAAATCCAGCCCCCCAAAACCAGGCGGGTTTGCTGCTGGCGGAGCTCAGGGTTGTGGCTTTATTTACTTTCTGTACAATACCCGAAGCGCGTGTTGCAATGACTTGGGTGGAATTTGAGCTGCTTATTAGCTGAAATTGAAAATTATAATTTGTGTGTGTGTTTGGGAGAGAAAGAGTGTTTGTCTGTGGGAGGGAAGTGCATGTATGTGCCTGCACACGCGCAGGAGAGGAGTTTTGTATGGAAGTGTGTGTGTGTGTGTGTGTATATATACATATATATACATCGATGCCCTGAGACTGTGTTAACTTGATGCCGAGATATTGCAAAGTAGATAATACTTCTGGAGGGAACTGAGGCTGATCACCAAAGAGGAAGCTTGGTGGTATGAGGAGAGCAAATCCGGCTGCTTTTTGACTCTTTTTGATCCTTTCCTCTTGGGGGATGAGGGTAAATCCAGGGTCTTGTGCAGCCCAGCCACCTTCTTCTCATTGCCCTCCCCCTCGTGCCCATCTCCCAGCTTTGCTCTATCCTTGCAGGTCCAGGCGAATGTGGAGAAGTCCTTGACCCTCTTCGGGCAGCTCCTGAACAAGAAGCACTTCTTGCTGACCTTCATCCGCACTCTGGAGGCTCAGCGGAGCTTCTCCATGCGGGACCGCGGCAACGTGGCCTCCCTCATCATGACGGCACTGCAGGGCGAGATGGAGTATGCCACGGGCGTGCTGAAGCAGCTCCTCTCTGACCTCATTGAGAAGAACCTGGAGAGTAAGAACCACCCCAAACTGCTCTTGCGGAGGTGAGTGACCATCTGAGAGGTTGGAGCTGTGGAACAGTGCCCAGGCTCTTCTGAGTATGTGGACGTGAGCTGGTGTCCTTTAGGGATGCCACAGCCAACACCAAAGCCATCACTGACGGCAATGTTGGCACTGGGTCTGTGGTCAAGCATTTCCTTGCCTGTCTGCATGCAAGTATGAGAGGGATGTGGGACCAACCAGACCCAGCCAGCTCAGGAGTCGCCCATGGGATGTTCTCACTCTGGTTTGGCCTGTGCAGGTTCACGTTGTCTGGGGAGGATCGAGCAAGATGCTCAGCAGCTGCCGGCTGCGTAGGCTGGTGCGGGGAGGATGCGCACTGGTGTCGGGCACTGTCACGTGTTGCTGCAGCAATTGCTCCCACCTGCCTTCCCTTCTCCAGGTGACCCAGGCGGTCCCCCAAACCTCCTGGCACTTGGGGTGGCTCTCGCCTTGCCTGGTGGCTGCCTTGCTGCCAGCACTCCTGCATGGGTTCCTCTGCGGGTTTGCAACAGGCCGGAGTCCTCCTTTCACCACTGCCTCCTCGGGGCTTGCCCAGCTCGCCGGGCACGTGGGGGTTTTCCTGGGAAAGCCAAGCAGATCTTCACAAGCTGGGAGTCTCGCCGGGGCCGGGAGGAGTGCGAGCAGGAGGCAGCCTGCCAAGCCCTGCTGTGAGTCTGCCTGGCCCATCAATATTTAACGATAGCTCTGAGCTCTCCTTCATCATGGGCTGATGAATATTGAAAGATACACCAAGTGCCGAAGAAAAACAATTAATAAGCTCCACCAGCCCAGCTCGAGGCCCTCCGTGCCGTCCTCTCCCTTCACACGCCGTGCCATGCCTCCCCATCTCCGCCTCCACCAGCCCAGTGCTACCAGCCTCCAGCAGAGATGCAGGGATGGTTGAGAGCCATGGGGCTGGCGTGTCACCAGAAAGGCTCAAGAAAACCAGAGCATCTTTCAAACATCAACCAATGTTCATGGCATGGCCAGACCACACAAAGCCTGTTGGGTTTTGTGTGCCTGACCCTGGGGAGACACCTGGAGTGGACACAGATGTGAGCTGATCCCAGTTACATCCCTGCTCCCTTCCCTTGGCTGATCTCTTTAGGCACATTGCTTTCTTACTCTCTCTGCTTCATTTATCACATTGCGAGGGAGCCCTTAATTTCTCAAAGCACCTCATTAGCAATGTGACAGAGCGTGGTACGGTACAGACCTGTGGCTGGCCGGGAGAGGGGTGGGTCTTGGAGGTGCCCACCCCTGTCCCCCATTCCTGTTCCCTGAGCACATCCTTAGGCTCTTCCCTTCTTACTGTCCCTCCACGACACCAGGCTTCACTGAAATACTTAAACTGCATTTCCAGCTCCTGGGTCTCTCAGAGCATCATGAAGCCACTGCCATTGGAGCAAAAGTCTGGAATGAAGTAAATCAATAAAATATAAATAAAAGGCAGTGCGGGGAGGCCAGCAGCTGCAGTGGCTGAGCTGTGGGAGCAGCACGGGGGCAGAGCCCAGACTGCCGGCACGGCAAGACCCAGCAGCTTGAGGACTATCAGTCCCCAGCCGCGGAGCTTGGAGGTCCATCGCAGGTGGAGCTGCGGGAGGCTTAGGACAGGGACGAGGTCCCCTGGCCAGCACCTTGCTCGTGCCTCCCTGAGTGATATTTAAAGAGACTTCATTTTTCCTGTAGCCACGGCATGGAGCGAGCGATGTTGAGAGCTGTGCTTCCTTCGTCCTTTTGATTAGCACTGCTGTTGGGCGCAAGAGTGTGCTTACTGCCCAGGGCAACTAGATTAACATTGATCTAACTGGGGAGAACTGCTATTTATTTATTTTGTTATTGGATAATCCCCCCGTTGCTGTGGCATGTGGCTCCATGGTGTATAAAGACAAACATTCACCGGAGCCCGGGTGGTGGCACTTCAGATGAGTGTTACAGGCTTGCCAGCAAACGACCTGATCTGGGGCCGGGGAGGATGTCTGCTGAATAGTTTCAGTCCACCCCTTCCCTTGGCTTTCTCCCCATGTCCCTTTCCTTCTCTTTTTTCCTTCCCCTTGATGGATTAATCTTTCCTGGCGGGGCACAGGAAGGCTTCCCTCCTCTGGAGGCTCAGGTATTACTGTCCCCTAATGGTTTAAGGAGAACTGTGCTATTCCAGGGAGGGCAAAAAGGGCTAAGCCCCATTAGCACAAGAGAAAGCCTTGGATTGGGACCATATGACCCCGAGTCAGCTTGAATAAACTCTGGGAAAGTGGATTTCCTACCCCAGCCATCTGGCCATTGGGAGCTGCTCCTGTCCCATCTGCCGGGCATGGCATTGCTGTTGGGCAGTACATGGCATTGGGCAGTGGGACTCTTCATGGTGGCTCTGAGGTTTGGGTTCCTTCTGGGTTTTGTCTCTTGAGTCAACCCATTTGCGTCCATTCCCCTGGCGCAACAGGAATGCAGCCATGTCCCTGAGGTTATTAGTATTGCTTGTGCTTTCAGGAGCATCTGTGTTTGCAAGTGGCTGATCTGATGATTAATGGGTGGATAAGCTGAAGAAGCCTAACCGGAGAGGGTTGGGGGGGCTGGCTGGCATTTTTACTTTAAAGGGAGTGAAAGCCACTTTAAAAATAACAGACGTGTTAAGGGGGATTTTAATCTTATGACAGTGAGACCAGGCTGTGGTGCAGAGACAGGCGCGTTAAGCTGCCCTTGTAGGGCTGCGCGGTTCACCTGGGTCCTGTGTCACCCTCAACTCCCTCCATGCCAGACTGTCCCTCTCCTCTGCTGGTACGGCACATCCTGGCCGCAGTACCACCACCCTGAGGTCCCCTCGTCCCCTTCGGACCCACCACGTCTCACACCCATCCTGCAGGATCCTGCTCTCTCCCTCTTGTGCACATGTTTCTATTCTATTGCACATATTCTATGTGCACATATGTGCACATATTCTATTCTATTCTATTCTATTCTATTCTATTCTATTCTATTCTATTCTATGTTGTGCAGTGATGGTCCCAAACAGACACGGGCGACTCCCCCAGACCTTCCCTGCCATGCCGCTTTGGAGCATGTTGACACCTGGATTTGAACCATGCTTTAGGAAACTAGGGGCAATTTATAAGTTTTCTCAAGGCAGTTTTGGCGGCTTCCTTCAACTGCATCTCCAAAAGCTGAGAGGCACGGCTCCATTTTTAAGCTCCTTTTTGGGCAGGTGGTTGCAGCATTGTTCACTGCAAACTCCTACATCACCACCCCACTCTGAGGAGACACACAGAGACCCGGGATTTCCACCATGCAGGCAGGGAAGGGTTAAATCCCAAGCATGGCACGGTGTCTTTGCACAGTGCTCCAAAGGTACATGGAAAACAGCTTGAGCTTCCAACCACTGCTCTTACTTCTTCCTCCTTTAATCCCCTTGTTTTCGGCTGAATTAGTACTGGGGATAAAACCATACTGGGATCAAAGTCTCCAGACCTAAATCTAGTGGTGGCTTTAACCAAGGCCATGTGCCAGTGGACCATGCCCTCTCTGTGTCGCACAGCTCTGCATCCTTGCCTGAGAGCCACCCAGATCCAGGCCCAAGGGTAAGGGCACGGAGAGAAGCGAGGGTGCAGAGCGTGGCCTCCTAAAGCTTCACCGTCACCACCACTGAGTGCCAAGAACCAGGTGTCCTCTCCTCCAGCAGTTCTTCTGAACAGACCTTGCACAGGCTGCTGGGGAGAACTCTCTTTATCCCTCCAGTATTGGTGGTGATTGTCATCTTGCTCTACTGTGGTTCCTGGACTTTGAGGCTGTAGAGATCAAGGGCTACTTTGGGTATTGCTGGGAAGTCCCATGTCACCCAGTAGTGGTGGGTAACATTTTACCTGGCTTAGGTGTCTCATACAATCCTCCTGTGGAGGGATCTGCCTGGTTCCAGTGGGACACGATGCAAGAAACAAACTTCATTTAAGTAGAAGGTACCAGGGAGAGGTAGAAAGCTGGTCATCCCCTGGGCGAGACTCCCCATCAGACAAGGTCATGCTCGGCTCTGTCTGGATCTCCAAATACACCGGAGACCAATTTGCTTCTCCCTCCTGGGGGGCTGCTGTGGCTCAGCCGTGTGGATGGGCAAGCTTTTCACTAGAGCTTTTGCTGTCTGCTTGTGCTCCTTTGCTTCGAGGCTCCTGCCTTTCCAGATGTGACCTTTTAAAGCCAAAAATAATATAGCCACAGTCCAAGGCTGAGCTGGCAATGGGTGAGATCAGAGACCTTTAATATCCTCTCCTGATGACTTTGCTCTTCCTACTCCTTCCCTACAGAACGGAGTCGGTGGCAGAGAAGATGCTGACGAATTGGTTCACGTTTCTGCTGTACAAGTTTCTGAAGGTGAGTTTGGGAAGGGATTGCAACCCCGTGTGGGTGGGGAGGTGGTTCCTGCCTCACCGGGACAGGCAGCGTGGTACCCAGAGCCTGGGCTGACGTGCTCCTGAGCACTGCTGCTCCCTCCTGGAGCAGAGATCGCTTCCCAGGCCTCCGTTCCCATCCTGTGTTTCTGAGATGTGATTAGTGGTTCTGGGTCTCCTTTCGGGGAAAGAGCTGAGATTGAGAAATGAAATCCAGACCGGGATTGCATAATGCGTAGCGGGTTTGAGATCTTCATAAAAATGGTGCCCGGAGAAAGGATAAATCTGAAGCAACTCAGCTGAGTCTTGAATCCCTTCGGAGTGGTTCCCATTCCTCCCTCCTTGCCTCTGCTTATGTAACTCGGGAGGAAAAAGCCCCGGGAGCTGGTCCTTCTGTAGACATCACTGTGCTCGGAGGATATTTCTGCCTGTTTGAGCTGTAGTTTGATGTGCTGTGCTCTTCACATAATGCTGCTGTTTTTCCTTCATCTCTGACACTGAGGCCCCTTGGTAGGGGAATCATTTCCCCCAGGCATCTCCGCTTCTGCTGCTGCTTCCCCTCCAAAAGGTGCCCCGATGGGGATGGATGCCCTGTGGGGCCTGTTGGCAGCCGGGGACACAGCTCTCTCCACAGCATGTGCACGAGGGTGCAGATGACGTTGGATCTCCTCATGCCCTTGCCTGCGTTGGCGAGCCTGTTAGCTTGAATTCGCCTTTTTCCCAATTTCATCGGGGGTAGCAGAAGAGGATGCCAAAGCGTAAGGGCTGCTTTTACCACTGGTTCAACCAACCCATATCGAGAACGTTTATCCCATCAGCACTGGTGCTTCCACCTGCTAGAGCCACACCAGCAGCTGTGCGGGTTACACAGCTGTAGCTCCAGCCCATGGACCACTGGCTCAGTGCTGCTGCTGCTTCGGGATGACACTGGCGGGGTGAACGGCGTCTCTGGTCCCACTGCAGGTTTGTCAGTCAGCAGAGCCGTTTCTTGGGATCCTGCCTGGTGTCAGCACAGCGAGGCTGGGTGGCATGCTGCCGTTTTTGTGGGATTTCATCCCTCATTAAGATAAAGAGGGTTTGAACCATTTCCAGCCAAGAGATGAGAGTGAGCAGGAGTCTGTGCAGAACTCAAGTGATCGTCAAAGAGAGGTGATTTATAATATCACTTACATGCACTTGGCTTTTTGCCTCCATCGAGGGATAGCCTGTATCTATAAAAATCTAGCTGTAGCGTGCAGTGGAGATTGCTTTCCAGGGGTGGGAGAGGAGAAAAGCTGTGCCAGTCACGGGGAGATGTGAAACCTCCCACCTCCTCTTCGTGCCGGGGCTTTGCTCAGCGGGGCCACCCTCTGCCCCTGCAGCAGCAGTGCCCAGTGGGATCAGGTAGGACGTGCCTGATGGGATCAGGTAGGACACTGGCAGACGGCTCTTTGGGCTCTGCAGGGTTGGTGGGACAGGCAGGAGTAGCTCTTGCTGTGGATAAACTCCCTCAGAGCTCCTTGAAGTGGACAAGGTTGTGCTTTGGCCGAGCAAAGGGCAGTGCGCAGCCTTCAAACACCCACAGCGGCGTTTGGGGACGTTGCGTTCATGTGCGTGACTTGACGCCCTCGGCCTGTCCCTGGCTGGGCTGGGCCATGTGGGCAGGTGACGGGGGCATGTTCACCTTGTTCAGAAGCTGCTTTGGATCAACTCATGTGCAACCACTGTCCTGCATCTGTCCTTGTACAGCCCTGTCCCCCTTTGGAGAGGCTTCTGGGCGCATCGCCAGTGTGGGGCAGGTCTGAGGATAAGGAATAGCGTGAGAGAGAGACGTGGGGATGGGACCAGGCCAATGCCTTTTTATAAAGTCCTTGGTTATGCCATGGCTTTGGCGAGGTAAAACGCCTCCAGTCTCTGGGTGGTAGCAGCAGAAGAGAGAAGTCTGATCTAGATGCAGCATTACAGGAGGAACATATGCAGAGGGCCTGGATAAACCCACTGGCTGTGTGATTTGTTACGCTGGGGATCATCTCCCCCGGGAAGCGGTTGAAACTCTATCACCTGGGTCACTTGAGTTAGACTGGAAGAGACTTGAGGATGCGCTCATGGTCTCTCCTGGGTCGGTCCCACCAGAGCCTGTTTCTGCTTGTCTCCCGGCAGTGAGGATCACAGGTAGCATCAAAACCCGTGGAGTAGATGGAGAGGTATCACACCAGTTTGCCAGCAGGGAAACTGCACCAAACCATGGTAATCGTGCATGTAAATGAGGCAGACGGATGTGTGCCCAGCTGCCAGATCGGCTCTCAGCAAACCTGCCCGGAGCAGGGCTGGGCACTCGGCATCACGTGGCTGTGATGTGCTAGGGTGAGGGACAGGGACAGGGACAGGACAGCCCCCCCTGCCCAGGGGCAGCAGCATGGGGAGCCAGCGAGGGCTGGCACTTTCATGGGGACCTTGTAGTAGCGTTTATCAGACTCTTAATGAGACACCCCGGGGAAAGGGAGAGGGATAAATTGAGACAAGTGCTGAAAAATGCACGATATTAGGTGCCTGATGAGCTAGATCTAGTCAATAAGACAGTTTGAGCGTTAGCTGGCTTGCCTCAGCCTGCTCCCAACGTACCGATGCGTGCATGCACAGGGGTGTTCGCAGCCGCCCTCCTCCAGCTCGGTTCGCATGCAGAGCCCCCCGCATGCAACCCCCCCCCCCCTTGCTCCGCCCCCCCCCCCTCAGCACACACTATCAGGGCT